TTTTTTGGCCAGTCCTGGGTCTTGAACTCAGATCCCTGAGTTTAGATCCCTCAGATCCCTAGCTCAAGACTAGTGCTCTGCCACTTCTGCTCTCAGCTTTTTGGTAATTAATTGGAAATTAGAGTCTCACAGGACTTTCCTACTCAGTCTGGCTTTGAACCTTGATTCTCAGATCTCAGCCTCCTGAGTAGCTAGAATTACAGGTGTGAGCCATAGGCACATAACTTAGATCAGACTTTTTTGTGGGTCGTGGGGCTTGAACTCTGGGCTTGGATGCTGTCCCTGTGCTCTTCAGCTCAAGCTGAGTGCGCTGCCGCTTGAGCCACAGCCACCACTTCTGATTTTCTAGTGGTTTATTGTAGATAAGAGTCTCACGGACTTTCCTACCTTGATTCTCAAATCTCAGCCTCTGAGTAGCTAGGATTACAGGCGTGAGCTACTGGCACTTGGCTAGATCAGACTTTTTTGTGTAGTCCTAGGGTTTGAATTCAGGGCCTCGTGCTTGCTTAGCTTGCTTACTTTGCTAGTACTGCACCACTTAGGAAATGTTTCTAACACTAGGTCACACTTTTGAATGCCATGCTAACAAGTAGGGACTTCATTGTTGAGTCCTTGGTTGATTTTTTAGCAAATGTGTAACATAGAGTTGTTCTTAGAACTAAGCATTTGAGTGAAATAATGCATTTAAGTGGATGTTCAGCAAGAGTGGAGATAGGGAAGTCAGGTTATAACCATTGATTGTGATAGAAAGAGGCATATAGTGGAGTATGAAGAGAAAGCCAAAAAGATAAGGAAATAAAATTGAATTGCTGGGGCTGGGAAGGTGGCTCAGTGGTAGAGCGCTTGCCTTGCATGCCTGAGGCCCTGGGTTCGATTCCTCAGCACCACTTAAGCAAAAAGAAAAAAGCCAGAAGTGGCGCTGTGGCTCAAGTGGTAGAGCGCTAGCCTTGAGCTGAAGAGCTGAGGGACAGCCCCCAAGCCCAGAGTTCAGGCCCACGACCAGACCCTCCCCCCCCCAAAAAAATTGAATTGCTAGCCCATTTGATAGGAGGGCTAAGATTGGAGGCATCAGGAATTTAGTTTATATTCTAATTTGTGGCATTATGGACTGGTTATAAAGGAAGAACTCAGGTTAAGTTTAGATAAAAGTAGGTGTAGTATCTAGCAGGAATTTGAAAATGAAAAAAAAAGGTACTTTGAATTGTTTGAAACTCACAAGAAAGGCTAGTAACAAAGATTCAGAAGCCATAACTGTGTAGATGATAGTTGTGCAGAAGTTGGGATACTTGGAAGGCTACTCAAATGGGAGATCAAATTTTGTTTGTGGGTTGGTTGGTCACTGTCCCTGACCTCTTTTGCTCAAGGCTAGTGCTCTATCACTTTGAGCCATAGCACCCCTTCCATTTTTTTGAGTGGCTATTCTGCCCCGGCTGGCTTCAAATCCACAGATCTCTGCCTCCTGAGTCACCAGGATTATGAGTCACCAGGATTATAGGCGTGAACCACCAGCTCCTGGCTGGGATAGCACATTATTTTTTTCAGATATTTTATTTTATTTACTTAATTTAATTTTTGTCAGCAGTGGGGCTTGAACTCAGGCTTGAACTATCCCTGAGCACTTTTGTTCAAGGCTAGTGCTCTATGGAATATCAAATTTTTTTTTGGGGGGTCTGGTCATGGGGCCTGAACTCTGGACCTAGGCACTGTCCCTCAGCTCTTCAGCTCAAAGCTAGTGCTCTACCACTTGAGTCAAAGTGCCACTTGTGGCTATTTTCTTTTTGCTTATGTGGTGCTGAGGAATCGAACTCAGGGCCTCAGGCATGCAAGGCAAGCACTCTACCACTGAGCCAACTTCCCAGCCCCATGAAATATCAAAATTTTAAGGTGAGAATGGGAAAAATTATCAATTGCATAGTTTTCAAACATCAAAGCCAGGTGCTGGTGGCTCACATCTGTAATCCTAGCTACTTAGGAGGCTGAGATCTGAGGATCACTGTTCAAAGCCAGCCTGGGCAGGAAAGACCTTAGACTCCTATCTCCAATAAACCACTAGAAAACCGGAAGTGGTGCTGTAGTTCAAGTGGTAGAGGCTAGCGTTGAGCTGAAAAGCTGAGGGACAGCGTCCAAGCCCAGAGTTTAAGCCCTATGACTGACCAAAAAAAAAAAAAGAAAAAAAAATCAAGATTATTAAAAAGTGTTTATTGGATTGAATGTCTTTATCAAGAGTTGTTTTTATTTCAGAGTATAGCAGTCAGATGGTGGTTCAGGCTTGTAATCCTAGTTACTCAGGAGGCTAAGATTTGAGGATTGCAGTTCAAAGCCAGACCTTGCAAGAAAGCTCATGAGACTCTTATCTCCAATTAATCACCAAAAAGCTGGAAATGGAGCTGTGGCTCAAGTGGTGGAGTACTGTCCTTAAGCAAAAAAGCTCAAGGACAGTGTCCAGTCTTTGAGTTCAAGCCTCAGGACCAGCACCAAAACAAACAAACAAAAAAGCTAGATGGTATCAGAGGTGAGCTGGTAGCAATCATGAAAGTGTAAACACCATTCTTTTAAGAATCTTGACTGTAGCTGGAAGTGTGAGATATGACTCAAGTGGTGAGCGAGCAGAAAAGCAAACAAGAGTGGAAGGGCCTGAGTTCAACACCCCCTCCCTTTCTGCCTCCTACTTCCCTCTGGGTTCAAACCAGCACCAAAACAAAACAGATTCTTGTCCTTGAAGGCAAAGATAGCTAAAAGAGAAGCCCTTATCCATGTGCCCTGGTGTGTGTGTGTGTGTGTGTGTGTGTGTGTGTGTGTGTGTG